GATCCCCAGCAGCTCCTTTTAAAAAGCCTGCTCTGCTGCCAAATTTTCCACCAGTAACAGGACTCTGCAGAGTGATTTACTTCCTTTCCAGGACATCCAATAAGGGTGGAAGGGAATCCTACCTCTGCTGTTGAATTTTTGCTTATATCATTAAGAAACAGCAGGCAGACATATAAACTACTATACATAAACTAAAATAGGCATTTTAAATAGCACTAAGCTATTGAATTTACTGGGTGAATCTCCCAGTCCATTGATTTATCTTCTTCACACAGTAGTCCTTGAGAACGCAATACCTTTCTAAAACACAGCACATACTTTAACAGCCTTTAACTTTAACTCACTGCTGCTTTGGCAAATATGCTCCCTGTAAGTAGTTTTGCACAGAGATTCATGTAACATTTTCCCTTACTCTCTTTTCCTGTCTTCATGGCTCTTCATGGCTATGTCTCCTATTTGTTCTTCTTGGTTCTTAGCTTCTGTAGACCTTCAGCCCCTCACCCCTTAGCAGATCCACTGGGTACTTTCCTTCTGTCAACTAATCCTTATGAATTTGTTGCACCCTCCACTCTGGGGAATGGTAAAATGGTAACTTGGTAAGATGTTCAACTTAATCTCTGAGGAAATTCTGTTCCAGAGAAGGAGAGCAATGTCAGAGTAGACTTGATTCTGTAGTACCTACAAGTGACACTCCTTAGGGGTAGAAATGCTAATGGTGGAGCTGCTCTTCTGGTCATTAATGCATTGGCAAGAGTAAGTGTGAAAAGGAAGTTCCAAAAGTTACCAAGTCCTGTAGGTCTTTAAAGAAGTCAATAAGCATTTTGATTTATACCTGAAATCAAACTAGCAATCAGTAGTGCTATATAGATAATCTAATTTGTTCCCCTAACTGTTTAAACTACCACATTATAGATGTCTCAACTTCATAGTCTCAATAGTTTTTTTTTTTTTTTTTGCTAGATTCAAATCCAAATTTCTGGCAAAGTTTCCAATGAATAATTTTGGCAATTCAGTTATGATGCTTTAGTCAGTTTGCGACATTTTGCTGCAGTCACCAATCAATTGATTGATTGATTTTTTTTCATTTTTTGTTATCCTTCACTACAAATGGGACACTTGCTGCTGTTTCATATATATTGAATTTTCATCTTCAGGCAATTAGTTGGCAAACCTTCTTCTTGAGCCACTAAAATAAAGCCTTCAGTTTCTTTTTTTTAATGCTCCTGATTTTAACCCTCTCCATGTGGATTCTCTATCAGCTTTTCCTTCGGTCTTTCAGGTATTGACCATATATCGGCTTATGTTTTCAATTAATAAATTGGTTTTCAATTGTTTCTTTTCAATATTCTACTTTTTTTGTTAAGAGTTTTCCTTGATTGACTCCTTGGCTTTTCTTAATGTAATCATTCAGGAGATACTGTTCTTCCTCCATAGTTTGTTTCATCTGTAAAAGTTTATATACTCCAGAATTGTATGGCTTTATTCTATTCTGTTAAAGATCACTAGCACTGTAAAAGAAAACAAACAAAAATGAAGAGTGACTTTATAGATGTTTAAATAGTTCCTAGCTCTATGAATTTCCTTAAATTGGGTGAACAGTGAATAAAAATATGTTGAAACTTTAGTATAATAAAACTGTGCAAAGATTTGCCTTTTACACTCCTTACTGGTATTGTTCGAAACAAAGATAAATGGTAAAAGAGCCATTAAGTAGTTTTTTTTTTTAATATGCTTTTTAAAAATGAACATAAAACATAGAATCATTCCCCAATTGGTTTAATGCAAGAAAATAAAAGATAACCTTGTTATAGAGGCTTTAAATTATAATGTTTATTTACCACCACAATTCTCTCTTCTTTTCAAGTTTCGTTCAGTCTCCATTCTAAGAAGCATCAGTAAAAAATCTGAAAGACTACATTGCTATCAGCAGTGTTCAGTTATGAATATATGGTTAAAAGTTTAGCAACAGAAAGACTATAAGAATGATACAGAAATGATAAATTTCCTTTAAGTCCCATTTCCCTAAACTCAGTGGATCACTCCATCTGCTAATATCTTTATATGCTTGGTCTCTTTTTTAATAAGTAACTGTCTAGATATCAAACTTTGATAAGGTGCTTAATGATTGCATTGAGATGAACCTTTGAAAGGTTTCATTACATGAAAATTTGCCAGTAGAAATCCACATTCTGTTCCAGCAATGTAATGTAAACCATAAGCACAAGAAGTGTAATGCTACATTCATTAAAAAATGAGTAGACTAAAAATGTACGATGGCAACATACTTCACCCAGTGGAACCAAAAGAAAATGTCATAAGCCAAGCAACTCTTGCATCTAATACTCTGATGGTCAGACTTTGAGGAAGTATGACACAAGTGAAGTTCGAGATGATCATCTCCTGCAATGTGCAGCTGCTCAAAGACATGATCATCATGGCCATTGAGATGCTTCTAGGCTGGAAATGAGATGCTTCAGGCTATGACCGAAGAAATAATCTCCCCCTGCTCTGCATGACCCTCTGCAAAGAATTTTTACTCTTTGTTGTACTTTTATTGATTGATTGAGTGAGTGATTGGCCATTCATCTTACCATATTCCTGTAATTTTAACTGTTTTTATATTTAGAATTGGGTTTTATAGTCTTATTTATTGCATTGTAAACTGCCCAGAGTCACTTTTAATAATGAGATGGGTGGCATATAAATGGAATAAATAAATACATAAATAAATAAATAAATAAATAAATAAATAAATAAATAAATAAATAATTAATATTGAAAAGCTTGCCTTGAAATCCAAATTGACACCATTCTATTAATTTAGCACTCTTTTCTTCACAATGGCATCTAGTCCATTTATTGCATGGTTTTCTTGTCCACAGTAGACCTGGTGTCCTAATGTGAAGTGAGCCATTCTGGTCCATGTCACTTGTCGATTCTGGGAATGTCCATGTTCTTTTATTTTGAACATACTTTTTTTTAAAAAAGTCATTTTCTTAACATAAAATACAAACGGAAATAAACAAGATGGGAAAAAAGGAAGGGGATAAAGTGAGGGAAGAGGGAAAAAGGAATTTAAAAAGAAACAAAAGCAGTAACTTTTGACATTTTTCATTGCAGTAAGATATGTAATGAAGTTCTGGTATCAAGTTTTTAATTATACCTAATAATAACTATCACTTACAGTATTTCTATAGCAGCAACCCACTTAATTGCCAAAACCCAGAGTCAAAATTTCATTTTTTCCCCTCTTTCATGCAGAAAGCACAGAAGCAGTTGTCCAAGTAACCACAAAACTATCTACATTCTTATCCCTAATTACTGCAGCCAACTTTGCCATCTTCACCAATTCCATCATCTTTTCAATTAATTCCTGAATGTCCATGTTCTAGACAATTCTGTTTTGAAAACGTAAAGTATTAATTGACTCATGGTTCTAATATTCCACATACTAATAGTACCTTTGCAGATCACACTTCACTTTTTTTGCAAAGTGTGATCTGATGACTCATCACCTGGACATTTTTTGGCTTTAATCATAAATATTTGCAGGGTTACTCATATTTTCCCACTGCTTTTTCCTAGTAACCCACTGGATGCCTTCCAATTAGAGGGGTTAATCTTTGTGTATTATATATAAATATTGCCCTGGATGTAAATATCCATTTGGTTTTCTTGGCAGAATAATGGAATAGATTGCCATTTCCTTTCCCAATGAATTATATTGAGTTTGATTCTTCTTCTATGACATGTCTATTATTGCTGGCCTTTCTGGAAGTGTGTACTCTTTGTAGTGTAGTTAACAGCATCGCTGGATACACAAGTCTCTTTATCACTGCAAAATAATGATCCATGAGGAGGAATATAAAGTATACCATACTGCAAAACTCTTGAAACTCTTTGCACTTGATAGAATCATCTTTCCTACCAACTAGCTATATTCAGTATAACTCACCATCAATGTTCTCTTTCATAGTTGGCCAATGATAAATATTTGCTGCCCAAAAGAAATGACTTTTTTTTTTACCATTCTGAATGTTTTATTGAAAGAAAGTAGAATATGAACACTACATCTAAAAATATTTTGATATCCTCTGTGTTGGGAACACCATGATTAAAGGACTTTTCTCAGAAACCGTAAGAAAGAATTGAATAAATGAGTCCAAAAATCATATTTCATCATCAATTAAAAGGAAGAAAATGAAAGGTAACCAAGGAAACAAATGGTTTTGTACACCATTTAAAAGTGTATCTGCATAGAACAAGTACTAAAAGCGATTAAAAGGAATGACAGCTGACTCAACGGGAGATGAGCCTTTCTGAAGTGCAGAAAACCCTGAGAAACTTATGTCTGATCTCCTTAATGCTTGGCATCTATTTTATTTTTCACTGATATCCACCCCAGGGAGAAAACTCATATCAAAGCACCCTCCTCAGAGTTAAATTTGGAACTGCTAGCACAGACCATCTTAGAATTCTAATTGATGTGAGTTGCCACAGAGTTAGTGTAAAGAGCCAAGCATAAAGGAAAAGAGATGAAATGTGGATAGCAGCTCATTAATCTATGCAGTGTCCAGGACTTTATTCTGGTCCTTTTCAACCAATGAATTTCTACTTCCATTGCCTTTATTCAAAAACAAAAAAACAAGGGTAGAGGAGAAGTGAGGATGGGTTTGAACTATTGTTAGAGCAACCTTGTTGTTTCTGCCTCTAACTTATGGATGCCTTCTAACTTGGGAGGGGGTGGGAAGTGGGCTCAAGGAGCCTAGTGGAACTCTTACTATGGCAGTGCATTTTATCTTTCTTTGTCTCCAAATTAAACCTCACAGTGAGACAACTATGCTTTTATCCTGTCCAGGCTGGTATATTTATTTCACTAGACTTCAATCTTCCAAGCAAAAGGCAGCTTTATTATATAACCCTTTTGATATATAAGAAGTTTCAAAACAATCAGACTAGTAGCCAGTCTCTTTCATATATATTCTCTAAATTTTAGACAGATCCTTCCTCAAGATCTGAGAAAACCTACTAATAGTTGGTACCAAAGGAGGTATGGAATAACTCTGCTTTGCTACAAACCTGTTCCTGCTTTAGTAAGTTGATATTTTTTTTTATCTGTCCCAATTAACTGCTGTCATGAATCAAGTATATGAATGTATTAAATCAAATTTATAAAATCAGATGTAAGGATTCATCTTTTTAAACAATGTTCTCCCTACTGGAATATATATTCTGACTGGCAGATTTTTAAAATACCATAAAGATGTCAGTTTTCAATATTGAGAATACTATATTCAAATGGGAACATTTGTACACATAATAGGAAAGCTACTTCAATGGAGATCAACATTAAACCTACACAATCTGACCCAGAGAGGATTGCATGAGTACTTTCCTCTAAAAAAGGATGAGAACCTAGAAAACAGCATCACTTCAAGGTGGAACACTTTATCTTCTAGTATTAAATTGGCCGTGTGTGTGTGTATATATACTGCTGTGAGGAAGACAGGCAGTTTCTAAATTTTAGGGGGTGGGGGATTGAATCTTCCGGTCTTCCACACAGAGTGATTGTGAGCAGTAACCTTCTTTTAACCTCTGGATGAAGACCACTTTTAACCTCTGGGATAGCATTTCACCTGCACAGCTTCCCTCCTGGTCCTAGTTAGATAATCTCTAAAACCTGGTTTTGTCCATGGTCTGATTCAGAGTGGGTGATTTATTCCTTGAAATGATTTAGTCTTTTGAATGGTTGCTGGGTTTTGTTGTTGTTGTTGTTGTTGTTTGAGTGGTTATTGATTTTTTCAGATGTTCTGTTCTGATTATTTAATTTTATGCTTTATCTTTTTGTTGTTGTTGATGATGATTTGTAAGCCACCTAGATTTAAAGACTGGTAAATTCTATAAATAAACCTTTTAAAAAGTAATCAAAACCTTCTTCTTTTTCAGGGCTTTTGTGCAGTGAATTGGAAAACAGTACTTTAAAAACAATATTCTAATATTAGGATTTTAATGAAATACAGTATGCCTAACAAAGGAATGTTTTGATGCAACTACTTCCTGACACTTTTATTAATAGTAAAAGTGACATTTATATACACCTAAATTAACATGACACAACGTTTTAAAGAATGTGTGAATGGATTTTTTTTAGAAATTTCAGCTGCATGGGCAATAATTCTATGCAGAACACATGGTTTAAATGCCGTCTGTCTGTCTGTCTGTCTGTCTGTCTGTCTGTCTGTCTATATCTATCTATCTATCTATCTATCTATCTATCTATCTATCTATCTATCTATAATCTCACATGCTACAGAAAGCCTAATATAAAAGGTACTTGTGTGATTAACTACAATTCAAACAGTGACTCGTCTATCAATTTTATCCTAAGCAATTGATGGTGCATCATTGAGATAAGGCCCGCACACTGATACATCACACATAGTAGTTTGGCACTACCACATATGTAAATAATAACCTATCACTCTGTTAGCTGATCAATCAAGGAAGACTGCCAGAGTACTTTACAGACAGATTTCAGTAGAAGTAATTAATAATTAATTTAGAATTAATAATCCACGATTATTGTATTTGCAGAAACAAATGAAAGGAAGGTATGAAAGCGAACTTGACTGATTATATGAACTTTATTCACATTTTTTTTCCAGTTTCTATTTTTATTCAGATCATCCTTTGAGAATCCTCAGGGAAAAAGGCTGCATATATAAAAGCAAGCTACTTCCTGGTAGCCAAAGATCAAAGTGGTATTGGTAACAGAAACCTTCTGTTAGGCTTTGACTCATCATTAAGAATTCATCCATTGATTGTAAATGATGTTGTTTTAACATGGTCAGGTTCTTTACCCAATAGTACATTTAACACTGTACAGATTAATCTAAATCTCCCCATTCCCTAGTGAAAGATCCCCTTCTGTTCTGGTTGACGTGATTCTCTTGGAGGAAAAAAAAGCACCACCTTCATCTTCTGAAACCACAAAATCAGAAGAGACAGAAAAAAATCATTTTGGTCCACAAAGAAGTACCAGACAGACAGTCTTTGAAAATCCAGTGGTCTAGACAGATAGTTTATCCAAACTAGAATCCTTTTCAACAGAGTCTGCTAGATGGGCAGATGGAAGAGATTTCATGCCAACTATAAAATTAGGGAAAGGGACAGGAGCATCCTAGTCAAGTCACCCACACCCTATTTCTCTGTTTTAAGAATTCTGGTTGGAAAAGGCCATGGTTTATAAAAGCAGTCAATTGCCAAAGTTTCAAATTGTAGCACTCCCTGTCAGAATACAAAGAGTTCATGGACACCTGGGATTAACTTGTTCTAATGTAGCATTCTCTTTGTCTTCCTTAAAGCAAATTAAGTTTCATATCCAAAAGAAGAAAAAAACACCTTTAACTATTAACTTGGAGCTCTACAATATGAGTTGAAATGCTGAGACATGTTTCTCTACATGAATACATGGTTGAAGAATGTCTGATCCTGTTCTGATGAAAGAGAAAATTCATAGGCAACTAATAGAGTGTCAAGATCCTTGATCCTGGTAGATTCATAATAAACTCCAGCAAAACCTTTTTATGAGGTATTTTGTGATAAGGGAAGAATGACTGGTTTAGTCATAAAAGTCTTACCTCTAATGATAGCTAGTATGAGAAGACATATTTGCCATGACTCAGGATCATGAAATGTCCTCCACCTAAGTATAATATGGCAATTTTTACCTCCCCCCCATGTTCCCTGAAGGTTTGCTATCATGGAAAAGTTTAAGTACTCCTCCCTGAGAGAAAGTGAGACATATAACCAGCCACTGTGAAACATTTTTTCCCATTTCCAGGCAAAAGGGAATGAAACATTAAAATGGTATCTGTAATGCTATGTGGGAATGATTTTAAGAGACAATAGGGAGAGATACTAAGGAAATGATGAGATAAGAGAGGGCAGAGCCCACAACTGCATAATGGGGAGAGAAAGAAACTCAGAAAGGCAGTAAAAGAGATGGTGGGAGATTTGTATTTTCAGACTTGCAAGATTCTGTTAATGTTGCCTTACAATTAAGTATAATTAGCTTAACTGGTTAGGTTTCTTGTGTGGACTATCTGGGAAAGCTGACAGAATCCCTAACGGTTCTCAATTTAAACCCACACATGAATCTCTTTGCTTTTGTCTGTGCACTTGCTCCATGAAGTCCACAATTTCTCCCTCACCTGGCTGTGCGTGCTCTGAATGTGAGTCACATGTGTTGAGGGATAAATATTTCTGATTTTAAAATGGTGGCAGGAACCAGAACATAAAGAAAAAAAAAACTTTCTCAGGCTTCAGCTTTTATTTTTCTGACAACCAGGAGGTATGGGGAAAACAATGATTCCTTTATTCAAAGAGTACCAACAAGTCAAGAGAAAGTTTTCTTAGTAGCTTTTTAAAACAATGATTCCTGGAAAAATCCCATAGGAACACTCTCACTGAGCAGAATCTTTAATCAACTTTAACACATACGCAATACAAGCAAACATGTGGTACATGCTGATTAGCTAAGATTTTCACATTACATGGAGTATGAGCATTACCTAAAAAATGAAAAAATGCTGGTATACTGATATATTGTATCTCCTGTTTATTCTTTGTTTTGTACACAACCCATTTCTTTGTTCTTCATGACTGTATGACTGTAATTTTATTGCTTGTATCCTTATATTTTATATTGATATTGTTTCCTGATTGCTTATTTGTACCCTATGACTATCATTAAGTGTTGTACCTTATGATTCTTGATGAACATATCTTTTCTTTTATGTACACTGAGAGCATATGCACCAAGACAAATTCCTTGTACTGTATGTCCAATCACACTTGGCCAATAAAAAATTATATTCTATGTGACTGGTTCATTTACTGTAATGGTACTGGGTTTATTTTCTAATAGCACTGACATTTTATACAACATAGCAATGTGTTGATGCTGTCTGAATATCTGCAAAGTCTGAAGATATTCCAGGTTCTTTTGATCAGTTTAAACTTGCTGCCCCTTCTAATAGGTGTCTCCAAAGTTGAAACACTTCAATTACACATAAGAATGTCTTGCTAAAAAAAACATACCTTTTGAATAAAAGGAACAAGGCAAAAGAACTTGCCTGAAATCATCAGCTGCCTAGAGGACAATAGCTCTGAGTGCAAAATTAAAAGCATTCGTTTGAACAACAAAGGGACAAAAGGGGCTGAATGACAAAGGAGGGGCTGAATGGTGAATCTTGACTTTAATGCCACTAATATCTGCTATATATCAAAACACCATTTTAATGGGACTATCATTTGGGGGCAGTAAATTAAAAATTGCAAGTGATAAAAAAAATAGTCCCAATAAAGTTACAAAATCTCCCAAATACCAGATTTGTTTGACATTTTTTGAAGGGTGTTAGAATAGTATTTTAGCATGGCTCATCTACTGTAGATGCCAGCAGAAGAAATATGATATTCCACCAAATCTAATACAGGGGGATCAAAGGTATTACTCTCCAGTTTAACATACAACTTGCACAGACGAAGGCATTCAAGGACAATCCTGACATGTTTAATGAGTGTAGGTGTAGTTTCAGCATAAATAAAACATGTCACCGAAAGAAAGAACTACAAAAGAGTCTGAACTGTCATACAGAACCTTATACATAAATCTCATGAAGGATAGAAGGGGCTGTGAACCAAGCCAAAACACATCTCGCTACATTCACTTTCCATAATATGTGTCAAAAATAGCTAAATATTCATGGCCCTCTTTCAAATTGTATGCCCCTTTTTGAATTCAGTTAAATAAAAATACCTCACCCACTTGCTTGTTGCAACCATTCCCAAAATTCAGAGATTAGTAGGAGGAAGTAGAGTTTGAAAGTCTGAAGTCATGACTCACTCTGACAGAGATAGAGAAAATAAGATGGGCTGAAACTGAAATGGAGGGGATCAAATCAACCCTGTAAATTGCGATCAATACATCCCTTTAAATAAGCCAACTGTTAAGCAAGCACAAGGTACTGTTGTGTAACAGGATCTAACCTTCTGGAATCAAGCCACAGTCACAAAAACAATATGGAGAAGAACAACATCTGTACTTCTTTTACAAAAATGTCAGCAAAATCAGAATACTGAGAGAAGCATTTTGGTAATCAAATAGGAAAGAGCAGATGGGTGTCTTGTGTTCTGCAGCTATTGTTTTTAGCAGTTCTGGGAATTAAACATATTGTTCCTTAATCCCAGTAAATCTCTGAATTATGGATTTGGAGCCAATTCATTGCCAAACTATGGGAAATACAAGGAAAGAGTTTAAGTAGAATTGTAAACTTGCTTGGAGATTGAAGATTTTAAGGTGAAGGAGAACAAATGTGTTCATAACAGCACTAGACAGCAAGATGCTTTCATCAATCTTTTCATATCAGTGGATCAAATATCTATGTGGGCGAGACATATTTCCATGGAAAAATCATGCAAATGAAATTTAGCCTTGGATTCAGAATTCAGAAGCAGAACAATGCATGTTTGAGCCGAATTGAGATCAAAGTATAAAATGTTATTAGCCTCTCTTGCACATTTGAGTTCACCTAAATTATTGAGGTTCCCTTTTCTGAGTTCTTGAAAGAATACCTAGCTTATTTCTTGAGAAATCCAATTTGGGAGAATCAGGTCACTTACTTCCAACATGATCCAGAAACAGGAGATTTACCCAAGCAACTTGCAATTTCCCCTGCTGACTTTCCATTGACTTTTTCTTGCAAGCTTTTCACAAGCTTGTACAAGAATAGCTAGATCTGCAAGTCCAAGGCTAGCAGGCATGTAAGTATCTGTTGCCAGGTGACGAGTGAATGAGTAGGGCATGAAAAATGCAGCAAAGTTTGGGGAGAGTGCACAGGGCTACCAGGAGGTACCCAAGAAGTCCAGCAAGGATCAGGGATGATGCATGAGGGTGTAGTGCTAGTTGGGACAGTTGCATGAGGATCCTGGTTGGTGATACATGGAGGCACAGCATGGGTTGGGGAACATGCTTTAGGGCATTGCATGGGTCAGGGTGAGTGTACTCAGGTACATGAGTGGTTCATGCAGCATAAGCCCAGAACAACTGGAAGAGGGTATGGGGAGGGTATAATGTGGAGGTACTTACCTGAACAGTTTGCTAACATTCCTGCTGGCTTACCCATTAACTTTCTCCTTGCAAGCTTCCCACAAGCAAAGTCAGTGGGGAAGCCAATAGGAAGTTCAAAATCTGACTCATTCCAGCTGCTCTTTTGCCCACCCATAGTCTTTCTATTGATCTGTTTAGGTGAGTAAATAACTCTAAATAATGACACAACTGAAACAATGACCCAACAGGTCATTTATAGATATAAATAGTATTTGTTCCAACTGATTCCTTCTGTTATTATAATCATTTATTCACACCATTTGTCTGCTGCCTATATTTGTTGAAATGTTAGATAGAGAGCATATAAGCAGTATGTGAAAACTGTATATTATTTTCACTGCTACAAAACATTAACACTGCTATGAAAACATTAGCATTTCACAAGACACAGAAAGATAATTGTCAGCTAAAGCCTTTAAGGAAGCAAAAACACTGCTGAGGTGATTTTTAATTTACATAACATTTCCTCTTTCTCTTGTGAATAAGATAAAGAAATATTAAAAATGAATATGTCTGCTTCATACTACACTATTATGTTCACTATTCTGAAAATGTTCATTAATATGAATGGTTCATTATTCCATTTAGAATAATGTAGATACAGAGAATTTATATGATCTTGTCCATGTTTTCATATGCTTTCTGGTTAGGTTAATCTAGCAGGTATGTTGGATGAAGATCATGCAAATGTATATTTGTTTCATTTTTGACCAGGTTGGACAGGCATTTATAGAAAAAATATATTAAAAAGATTCTATGATGCGCCTGCAGTTGCCATGGCTTTTTGCCTGTCTATCACATATCTATA